ATCTAATTAAGTGGTTAAAGTACGACGAATATAAAAACAGCTAGGAACCGGAAATTAACCTTTTAAAGGAACTTCTGAAGAAAGTAAAAAAGGATTACTCTAAGTAGTTCCTAACGTCAGTAAAGCATCTAGTTACTTATCGTCGAAAGTAAACTCGTTATAAACTAGCGATAGCTCGGGTTCATCCGGCGTATAGCTCTTTTCCCGATCAAGGGTATTTAGTATCTAGGACTGCCGAGCCACTATATTACTCTAAGCGCGAGTATACTCTTCTATTTATCGCCGGTAGCTAGCTAACCGACGCTCTAACTCGGCCGACTTAGTTATAAACTCCGTAGCCTTCGCCCGCACCTAAGCTATACGGTTAGATAACCGTCGGGTTCGTTCGGCTATCCCCTCGCGTATCTTACGACAACGGTTTTCTAACTCTTTATTCTTTCGGATATATTCGTTACAGCGGAAATTACTCTTTAAAAGAAAGTAGACGGATGATAACTTATCGTAATTCGAGTAAGAAGTTATAGTTAACATTATATTTCTCCGGTGCTAGTTTCTTATTTAGCGATAGTGTTTTAACTAGTTTAGCATTCTTTAATACTAGTTTAAGAAGTGCTTTATGAAATACGTTATGTACGCGTATATCCTTTAGTAGTTTTAGTCGATATATAACTTCTCTAAGTTTATTCTTAATTCTAAATAGTTCTAGTTTTATATGGTTTAGTTTTTCACTTAGTTATTTTATTTTAATGTTTTTTTATAAAAGGTAGACGAGGTTCTTCTCTCTTAGAAGCGATTCCTCAATTCGTTTCTTATTTACGTATTTTACTATTCTTTTTACGAGAAATTCGAGATTTAATTTAAGCTAATCGTATAACTCTCTTATCGTCATTACTATACTTAGAGCTCTAGGGTTCGAGCTTCTATCTATTATTTTCTCTAGTCGTGAATAGAATCTATAGTTCGCGAAGAATAAGCTTATTTCTTATTTTAGAGTTTAATTAGTTCGTTCTATTTATTCATTAATTTATAAATAGAATAATATAAATAACTTATACTTCGTAGTTAGTTGTTTCATTAATACTTTCTAGAATTTAGACGTAAAGAGCTTATCTCTATTCGTAATAATTTCTTTTAGTATATCGTAATTAGTAAATACGGTTCGTAAGAATTCGTAGGTAAATTCTTCTACTATTAACTTCTTTATATATAGTCTAAAATAAAAGAACTTCGTTAGTCTATTATATACTATAAGTATACTATTATAAGTTACTCTCGTAAGAAGTTCCTTAGGCTTTAGTAGTTTTATAATAAAGTCGAACGTAATCGACGTCTATATTTTATCTAGAGTCTATAGAGATTATAATAATCCGTAAGATCTATATCTTATATATTTAGTTTATATATACGTTTCGCATTAGTTAATGAACTCTTAGATATCTTTTCTTATATACTTCTAAGAGTTATAGTGCCTAGTAATAAGTTCGATTATTTTATCGGCTTCTAGATATTCTATTAGCGAGTCGTTATAGTAATATTCTATAACCCTTAGTCGTACGACTTCATTATAAACTCTATCTATGAAATAATATTCTTTAATATTAGTGTCGAGGTCGTATTCATAATTATCTCGTTTAATTAAATCTTTAATATTTACTATTGCTAATATTAGTTATACGTAAGTTATATAGTCTTCTTCCATTCGTAGAAGAGATATCGGAGTTAGCCGAATATCGTTTATATAGTCTAGTCGTCGGCTTAGAACGTCTACTCTACCGTTTTCTTTATCTTTAATATAGTAGATTTTAAAATTATACGGGGCTATAGTTTTTACTTATCGTACTTATCTTCTATTAAGTGCTTTAGTTATATTCCAATATAGAAGATTCTTATAATCTAAGTAAATCTTCACTAAGTAGTTTAACTCTTTTAAATATACTCTTTAGTATTTTAGTATTTCTACTATCGCGAGTAATTCTTTATCGTAAATATCGTAGTGAAGCTCTAATTCTATTATTTTTCTCGAGAAATAGATAACTAGTCTAATTCTTTTATCTTATTCTTTCTATATTAGAACTACGACGATCGCGCCGTCTAATGCGTCGATCTTAAGAAAGATTTATTATTCCGGGTTAAAGATCGTAAGAATCGGAGCCTTAGTAAAGTCTTTCTTAAGTTTCTTAATTACTTATCTAGCTTCTTTCGTTAAAATAAAGATCGCGACTCCTTTCTTTATTAGATTCGTTAGAAATATAGTAATTTATAAATAGTTTCGTATAAACTTTCGATAGAAATTAGCGAATCCTAGGAACGATTATAGTTTCTTTAGCGTAGTTAATTTTAACTATTTTAGTACACTTTTAATATAGTCTAGGTTTATTTTAAGTTTCTCTCTAATAACTATATATCTTAGAAATTTAATATTATCTTTATAGAATTTATATTTCTTAAGTTTAATTAGTAATTAATATTTCTAAAGAGCTTTTAGTACCTTCGTAATATATTTTATATATTCTTCGTAAGTCTTAAAGTAAATTAAGATATCGTTTAAGTAAGCGATATAGAAAATATTTAAATATTTTCTTAGCGTATTATTAATTAACGTTTAAAATATCGCTAGTATATTAGTGAGTTTAAATAATATTACGTAGTACTTAAATAACTTATATCGAGTCCTAAAGACTATTTTCTATTCTTCGTCTTCTTTTATACGTATACGGTAGTATACGTCTCGAATATTTAGTATTATAAAATATTATACTTCTTTAAGCCGATCTTAGAGCTCATCGATTCTTAATAGCGGGTAGATATTCTTAATAGTAATGTTATTTAGCTTCCGATAGTCTATATATAATCGAAGCTTTCCGTCTTTCTTTAAGACGAATAGAATAAAGTATTCTATATCTAACTCTAACGATCTAATATAGCCTTTCGCTAAATATTCCTTAAGATATTTCCTTAAAGTCTTTTACTCGGTTTTCAACAACGAATATAGTGATCTAAATATAGAGTATTTTTCTTCTTAAAGACGTATTTCATAGTTCTAAAATTTATATTCTAATAGAGCCTCGATTTCTACTTTCTTTTCAAATATAGGCTTTAGTCTTTCGTATTCTAATAAGTATTTCGTCGTCGCATTAGTAAATACGCGTACTAATCGTACCTAGACGATCTTTTTAGTGTGTTTTTAAGCTAATTCTATCTTAGATTTCTAAGTTCTTACGGTATAGTCGTAATTATTAAACCGTATTTAGATTCTAGCCTAGTTAATAATTAAATTATAGTGTTTTAACTAAGATATACTTAGTACTATATCGTATTTTATATTCATAATATCGAGGTTCAATTCTTCTTAATGTTCGTCGATCGTAAGTCATATTAATTATAGCTTATATATAAGTTTAGATATAATAATGCCATCGAATTCTATAATTATATCGGATCTTAGTCTTTTAGCTTTCCATTACGGTAGCTTTTCTACTATCCTAGTATATACTAAATTTTCAGTATATCCGGAGTCGATTAGAATATTAACTTCTTAGTTTTCTAGTATACTCTCGAGAAATATAGATCTAGCGTTAAACTTTATAGCTATATTTAACTCGAGTTATTAATTTCTTCTTCCTTCTTTAGTTCTAACTAGTCGCGCGCCGTCGCTATTAACTTTTTAGCGTTAGCGTCTTCTAGGGGCGTATTTCTAGTGATTTAGACGCCCCTAGTTCTTCTACTATTCTAGTTTTTTAACCAGTGAAGATGGTTTATTTTATTATTTCGAGGTTCTAGCTACGAAGAGAGTGTAGGCTATCTAGGGGTAATAATAGTGTATATATAGTGCTTATACTCTACGCGCTCTACGCGCTCTATGCGCTCTGCTGGTAGGGCCAATAGGGCCGACAGAGCCAATAGGGCGTATTACGTGACCCCAGTCTTATTCTTCTATGGATCCTTCTATCTACCCAATGAGTGTAGCGAGCCGTGCCTTCGCAGCTCGTGACCGGTTCTCCTTAAGGCTATGTCTAACATATTAATGAATAAAGATTAGGGTAAAGTTTTAGTATAGATTTATACTTAAAGAGTTCTACCTTATTTTTATTAATATCTTCGAGAGATTAAATAAACAGTTAAATTTATGAGAGGTATTCTAATGGAGGACAATACTTCTATTCATATAGCAAAGTTAACAAGAGCATATCATGCATATTATGGTGTTATTCGAATGGTTTAGCCTGCTTATTCGCTAGATTTAAATTCTATTGAGAATGTCTGGCGGCTTCTTAAATATCGAATTGGGAGACGTTTTCCAAAGATAGATACTGAGGTTCGACGATATCTACTAGAAGAATAGGAAAGATTGGATAAATAGGACTTTATTAAGTATATAGAGAGTATACCAGAGCGCTGTAAAGCTGTCATCGCAGCCAACGGTGGGCATACAAAGTGGTAGAGAATGAGAGGTTTTACAACAAGCTAGTGAACCAGGGGGTGGTGTCAGCCCGTACATGATCCCCCCCTGTATTTGCACGGGCGCTACCGACGCGGCGTCCTTACTTGAGATGGGGCTAGTGGGAAACCTCCAACTTTCAAGCCTACTGGAGGGATTATCCTTTGAGCTGGCCTCGAACCTCACAGAAAATTCTTGCGCACGAATCCCGCCAAGCTCGGAGCTGTCGATCGGAGATCGCTGCCAGCGCTCACGTATACTCCTCTGACGAAGCAAGCAGTGGTGATTCGGCTCTAAAACGTGTCAGAACTCTGCCTTTCGCAGCTCAGCGGGCGCTCAGCGGCCCGTCGATACCAAGTTCTCCGTGAAATCACATTGGTATTGGCACGGCGTCACGTGACCGGCCTTGGCACAGATAGGCAGATAGGACTTGTCTGCGCGTCTTTCGCACCTGGCAGCCTTGTGAACCATTCAACCGACTTAGGTTCGTTCCAATGCTTGGTTTCTTCTAAACCATAAGAGGCTCAAGGTAATCGTTAGATGGTACTGTAGCGCAGTTTCAATGCCCAACTATCCATCGGCACCGCTGTCGGATCCTGACTCATGGATTCGCTTGCTTTGGATTGAGCCTGGGTCCGACGATGAAACAATCCGCTGCCACCTTCACCACTTCGAACTAAGTTCGTTGCCCCCATTTGAGGCATTATCATATTGTTGGAATGAGGAGACATTTGGAGAGAGTACTGTGGAGACGGTTAAAATATTCTGCAATCTAGAGCAAACCTCGGTCACAAAGAATTTGTACCTGGCTTTGAAACGCCTGCGATTTGTTCCGACTGCAAACTCTCAAAAGCCAGAGTTGGACTATCCGCCCCTGCCTTCCGACACGAGGTTTTGGGATCTCCGATGGACGACATCCCCCTTCGACAACTTTACGGGCCAATTTCCATCGATCGAGGAGAACGGCCGGTTGGTTTGGATTGACCAGCTCTGCATCAACCAGGAAGATGAAGACGAGAAAGCAAGGCAAGTGGGAATAATGCGCAAAATATATTCAAAAGCATCAAGAGTATGGGTTTGGATTGGTCAGTTCGAAGAGAGGGAAATTCAGATCCATCTTGAGTGCCTCTCTGAAGTCGTCCATCAGATACGGAAAAAATGCTTCCACTTCTGGCAGAATCCGGCCCACATTTCCTTCGAACAGCTCAAGAAGCAGTGCCGCGCAGGTGCAAGATCAAGAGAAGATAAAGAACGGAGAATGGGAAACTTTGACCTGACGTCAAGGAACGAAAGTGGCAAAACTGGTTTAGGATATCAGCTATTGACAATGATATATGACAGGGATTGGTTTGAAAGAATTTGGGTTATCCAAGAAGTTGCGGCAGCTGCAAGAGTTTCGGTCATATATGGCGACTTTCACATCAATCCTACGGTACTTGCTTTCGTTGCCGAATGGCTTTCCACGTTAGGCGACGACGCGAGACGTCGAGGCTACCTCGTACAATCTTACGAAAGCACACGAAACTGCGCCTTCACCCTTGGGACAATGTTCGGATCTGCTAATAAGGCCTTCTCTCTTTCAGACCTAATGCTGCAAACAAGAGATTTCAAAGCAACGGATCCTCGAGACCGAGTGTATGCTTTAATTGGCCTCTGTAAAGAGAGTCGATTGGGTATCGACGCGTTCAGGATTGACTACACTAGAGATTGCAGAGAACTGTATCGTGACGTTACGCGAGCCCTGATCGTCGAATCTCAATCCCTAAACATATTGTCAGGAGCTCCCGGACTGTTTTGCCCTTGCTCGGATTGCGGAGGCACGAATTATCACCGAAACAAGTATCCAGGAGCTGGAAGACTACCCGACCCCGTCGGAAGTGTTGCCTCGTGGGTCCAAGACTGGACTCAAACGTACCATGAACTACCAGAGCCGTTTATGGCGAGTAGCATAGGCAAGACATTTAAGGCGTCAGATGATACCCCGGTCCAACTACAATGGACCGGGGACCTTAATGTCTTGAGAGCCAAAGGAATCAGAGTTGATATAGCCCAGAGAGCTTTCGACATCAGCCTTTTCTCAGGGCAGCGACAACAACCAACCCTGAGAGATCTGTGGCAAGAAATCTCACAAGAGCTTGGCGGGAAATTAGCACAATACCCGACTGGAGAGACTTTATGCGCCGCTTTCACAAAGACCCTGACGGCAAATCATAATTATATGGGCGTACCGGCAGGTGATGATAAGAATTTCGAGCTTGACGCTTCAAATTTCTGGCTGTCTGCCATTGGCGAAGATTTGGTGGTACACGGCAAAGCCGGAAAGGTGGCCTGGCGTGAATTCTTCAGGGGACCAAAAATCCCAAACGAGTCTTTTATTAATGCTATCAATCGAGTCTGTCCTGGACGGCGATTGCTCCTAACCCAGAAGGGGTATCTAGGATTAGGACATACGTATCTTCAGCAAGGAGACATCATTGTTGTTCTTTTCGGTGGCCCTACACCGTATCTGCTAAGAGAGAAGCAAGGAGCCAACTCTTACACTGTTGTTGGAGAGTGTTATATTCACGGGTTAATGGGTGGTGAGGCTGTAAGATCGTGGAGGAGTGGTTTCTTTCAAGACAAATATTTTAACCTTACGTAAAGCCCGGGATGTCTGCGGGCTACGGTGGCATGGAGGGACCTCCCGTTTACTGACATCGCAAATTTACCATCGCCAAACACGATCACTCGCAACTTTTCACCTAGTGTACTGTAAATCCATGCATGTGATCAGAGCATCCAGCCCGTTGATTGGCGATAGGAAGAAGCTAGGCTTAACTCTATATAGCCTAGTCTTCAGCCACTAGGTGCCAAAATATGGGCCCAAAAATTTTTAAGTGTGTGTGAAGGTGAAGCCGCAATTAAAAACGTCTATACTAAAAACCCCTTAAAACGATTTATTCGGTTTTCACTCTGGCGTATAGAAGTTAAAGAATCTAGTAAAGAGCACCGCTTCTAACCTAATAAGGGATATAAGGGTCTTCGCTATTGGTAAAATAGATACCCGCTAAGGTGATTAGCATTACGTTCTATAACTTTAACGTCGTCTCTAAATTTTTTAAGAGTCGTGGCGAGAGGAACATATCACTTATATTACCTATTCGAAACTATAATTATATAAAATCTAACCTCGTTACTAAAGCTTTCCTACGAAACGACTATTCACCATCTTAAATATCTATAAGAATCTTATAGAATATCGCTCTCTAAAGGTCTATATTAGACCTAAAGTTACGTGACTAAATACGATTTAACTTCGTATTTAGACCAAGGATCTATGAAATTACGTGACTAGTACGGTATTAATTCCGTACTCTATTAAAAGATTAGTCGTACTTACTAATGTTAATTTAAAATCAACATTTTTAAGGGTCTTAACTATAAACACTCATTATCTATATAAAGACCTTTACTCTCCCTAGGTAGATAGTTATCTTTAAGTTCTTTAATAGTTAGTTACCTACCTATAAGGTTTACGAATTATATAAGTCTTACTATCTATACATTAGATAGTTCTTCGAGTCCTCCGAATAGATTATAAGCCCGGACTAACGATAATCCGATACTACTATAAGATATTATCGACTACTATCTTATCGACTTAATCTATTACGAACTAGTCTCGACACTAGTGAACGATAATTTAGTAAATAGGCTTATATAATAAGTCTATTAAGTTAATCGAACTTCCGGTTACTAGGTTATCGTTATTAACTTAGCTATCTTAAGGCTAATAGTTATTTATACTATTATAAGATCTTCACCTCTACTATTTATATATATAGAGGAAAATATTCTCTATATATAACTTAGTATAATGGCGAGCGATTTAAACTTATTTAGTGTCCCTCGACTTAGAGAATCTATAAACTAGAAATTCTAGACTTTACGAATAAAAGCCTATATAATCGATAAAGACTACGAATCGGCCTTATATTCTATTATTCCTTACGACGAAGAAAAAGGTACTAAGAAGAACTATTAAATCTATTTATCGAAACGAGAAAATAAGTCTATTAAGGCTAGTATCTTAATACGACTAGCGCTCGATAATAGTTCTCTTATATAAGTTAAAGAGATAAATAACGCTATCGATATATAAGATAGACTTAAAAGTCTTTATGAATTTAAAGACTTTAGTTCGGAGTTCCTTATATATAAGGAACTATTTAGTACTAGCCTAGCGACCTCGAAAGGTTCTATCGAAATCTATTTAATAAGAATTAAGCGATTATCTAATAAACTAGCGGCTAGAAAGCTCGCTATACTAAATAAGATTATTATAGCTTATACGCTAAATAACCTAACGACCGAATACGAAAACACCGTCGCGATAATTACTTAAGGTCTTAGATCTAGCGAAAAAGAGATCGATCTATTCTCTATATTTAGTTATCTACTAGACGAAACGAGACGTCTAAAGTCGATTCACCCTACGGAAATAGCTATAAATATTAATACTAAGGCTGTATCTAAGCCTAAGTATTCCTATTATTATAAAAACGGTCATAAAATCGAAAAGTACTAAATAAAAAACTCTAGTCTAAGGCCTTCTAGGGTTATTAACCTTAAAGACCTTAAAAAGACTAAAAAAAGCGAACTTACTTTTCTAGTAAAAGAAGAAGATTAACTAGCTAAAGAACTAGTTAAGAGTTAACTAGTCGAATAAATAGAATTCGCTCTATTTACAATAGACGATTTATATAGCTAGAATACTTAGATACTAGATAGTAGGGCTAGTAGATATATATACTCTACTAGAGCGCTATTTAGCGACCTAAGGCCCTATTAAACGACCTTAAACTGAGGTAATATTTCTAATATTTTAGTAGAATGACTAGGGAACGTCCGAGTACGTTTTAGATTAACTAGTCGAACTGTAACTATCTAAGATTATCTATATATACTATAAATAAGCTTAAATCTATTAAGCCTAGGCGCACTAGCTAAAAAGAGAGTATCTATATCGATAGAAAACAACTTAATTAATCTATCGATAAAAGATAAGGCGATAGCTAAAGATTATTATAAATATAATCTTATAACTATCGATACTTATTCTACTACCGAATACGTCTATTCCGCGGTAGATAAGGATATTTAGCATTACCGAATGGGTTATATAGATAGTATAGTCTTAAAAACACTATCTAAGAAAACCCTAGGTTGCGATTTATCTATAAAATCGTCTATATCGATAAAAGATTGCGAAATATATATTTAATTAAAGGCTACAGTAAAAATTGGCCGAATATCGATGCCTAGAGCTCGAGAAACCCTCGAAAAGGTTCACTCTAATATATGTGGACTTATAACGCTAGAGACCTTTCTTAAACAGCGCTATATCGTCTCGTTTATAGACGATAAGACAAGATACGTAACTATTCGCTTATTATCTAGTAGAGATTAAGTCTTTAATGAGTTTAAAGACTATCTATCGGAAGAAGAGAACTAATTAAACGCTAAACTAAAGCGTTTACATTTCGATAACGCTAGAGAATATAAAAGCGAATAGTTCCCAGCGCTATTTAAAGAAAAAGGCGTTATAGTAATCTATTTAGCCCCTTATAAGCCTAAATAAAACGATATTATAATAAGGCAAGGTGGCTATGCTGTGCTAAGCTGGTAGAGCGGTGATAGAGAGAAAAAGTTATCTAGTTATATATTAAACCTAAATGGCCTGGTAGAGAGAGGAGTGCAGAATAGTTTATAGTGCTGGCAGTGTACTATTCATTATAGTTTAAGTAGAGTATTATAAATTCTATGGCCTTTTAGCGCCGTCTACCTCTATTCTTAAGTGTTTTATTAGTTCTATTCTATTCCTCGATGCTCTCGCTATACTAAGTGTTCGTAACCTTAGTCGCTACCTCTCTAGGTAGTATTGTAATGAGAGAAGTTTAAAGTAGTGAATAGCTTTATAATTAGCTAGGGCGTCAACACTAGACTAGAGTTCTTCTTATATAGTCCTCGGGGACTATCATTCATAGACTGAACGATCAATTAATTAAGTTACGAACAGAGAGAACTTCCTTTGGTTAAGTGTGCGTGCTGTGAAGAGGCTATACCCACCGCCGTACGAGTTAATACCTATGGCTAGTAGTCTCGCCCTAGTTCAGTGGTGCCACCAACAAGATCTTCGACGAATACTTACGAATGAGTGTCTCTCTATGAGCGGTGAGAGAAGATTACGATGAACGACTAAAATAAACTACTTACTAAATTAATAGAATTAAAGAATTACCTACCTACCTATCTACCTAACTAACTCTAGAGAAACTAACTATATATATAGAACCGCTGCGTAGAGTATACTATTTAGATTATTAGCTAAGTAAGTCTATCTCGCTATACGGAGCGATTTACGCTAGCTATTTATAGAGACCGCTACTCGAGGTGCCTTTTAGAATTACTAACTATATATATTTACTACCACTATATAAAGTGAAGACTAACGACTTAACGACTATTTAAACTACCTAGAAGAACTAAGAGAGAAGTATCTCTTAGAAATATAGAAATACGTTTAACTCTAAAAACTTCTAACTTAAGAAGTTTAAAAGAAGCCGAAGAACGCGAATCTACTCGAGAAATAGTGAAAATAAGCGGTTAAATTAGATTCGCTAAAATAAACGAAGTTAAAGCGCTACTAATTAAGAAGTAAATCTAGAATTTTAATAAAGATTATTAGTAAAGACGAGAAAGAAGCTTAACGAGAAAATTAATAAAGAGATAAAGAGAGAAAAAAGAAAAATAATTAAAAACACTAATAAAATTATAAAAATAATAAAATATTTAAATCTTTTAGTTTCGTTATTAAGATTTATATTATTTCGATTATAAGAGAAGAAGTAAGAACGATTTAATATAAGAAAAATATTATCTACGGAAGAATCGAATAATAAAGAAAAGCTAAAGTCTTTTACGATATTAAGTATTAACTTATAAAATCTATCGATATTAAATTCGACGATATAATTATTATATATCTCTTCTTCCGTAATATTAATAAGGAAAATATCTTAGAGCTCGAACGAAAGTAATAATCTTCTATACTTTAATAAGAAGAACGCTATCTCTTTCTTCGAGAAGTTTAAAAAGCTATATAAATATAACTAAATTATATTAAGCGAAGAACGTATTTATAGATCTATTCGCTTTATATCTAAAGTAAAGAAAGAACGCTATAAAGAGCTTACTAAGTATAACGTAATAAATTAAGAAAAGTTTAAAGAGAAGATTTTAAATAAATATAAAGATTAAGACGAAGTATAGCGAATAATAAATATTTAATATCTTTAGATATTTATAAAGTATCGACGAAAGAAGTCTTAAAGTCTAGAGCTATATCTTCGTTAATTTCGTAAGACTATAACTTACTTAATTAAAATTAAAGTCGAGACTAACTATACTTACTATCGTCTTCTTTTATCTAGATTACTAAAGACTTATATAGATAAGATTCGAAAGAAATAGAATTTAATAAATCGAAAGCCGAAGAATTCGAACTTTTAGAAATACTAGAATTAAATAAAAGAATTATAGAATATTAATAATAAAAATAAGAAGTTTACGTAAGGAGTACTTAACGAGAAGTTCTAAGAA